TGCATTTGAAGAGCTGAAGTCTTATCTTAGCTCGCCACCTCTACTGACTAAGGCTATAGATGGGGAGATTCTTTATTTGTACCTGGGGATTTCAGATGAGGCCATTAGTTCAGTTCTGGTGAGAGAGGAAGCCAGGCAACAGAAACCAATCTATTATATCAGCAGTGTATTACACGGAGCAAAGCTGAGATATCCTATAGCGGAGAAAGCAGCACTAGCAGTTGTCACTTCGGCTAGGAAGTTGAGGCCATATTTTCAGTCACACCCAATTATCGTTCTCACAGATCAACCTCTCCGGCAGATTTTGCAAAAACCAGAATGCTCTGGAAGATTAATTAAGTGGGCAGTAGAACTGGGGGAGTTTGAGATCACGTTTCAGCAGAGATCGGCAATCCGTGCTCAGGCACTAGCAGATTTCATTGTCGAATGCACCCCATGTCCTTCAACCTCTACTCCAGAGCCCAACGACTGGACCTTATATGTTGATGGAGCATCTAGTAGCAAGGGTTCAGGGGCTGGAGCTCCCTTGATTGGTCCAGAGGGATACCGAAGTGAACATGCCCTGAAGTTCAACTTTGATGCGACAAATAACATGGCTGAGTATGAAGCTCTGCTACTTGGTCTACAACTAGCATTGGAGTTGAAAATCTGTGCAATTCAAGTATACAGTGACTCCCAACTAGTAGTAAACCAAATCAACTCAATCTGTGAAGTTGTTGATCCTGTGATGGTGAAATATGCAGCCTTGGTGGCCGAGCTGAAATGCAAGTTCCAGAAATTCTGTTTGAATAAAATCCCCCGAGCCAAGAATGAACAAGCAGATTCACTCTCCAAGTTTGCCTCTGATAGTTCTTTAAGTTCCAGATCCGTTTTTGTAGAGGTCTTAGATGAACCAAGCTTCATGAAGCCTCGTGTGATGGAGATTAGCACAGACCCTGACACGCCGAGCTGGACTGATTCCATTGTCTCCTTCTTACGAGATGGGATAGTACCTGAGGACAAGCAGGAGGCAATGAAATTAAGGAAGAAAGCATCTCGGTATACACTCGTTGCTAGAGTCCTGTATAAGAGATCTTTCTCACTCCCTCTTCTATGGTGTTTGAACCCCTACGAAGCTGAATATGCACTTCGAGAGGTGCACGAAGGTGTCTGTGGGAGCCATGTTGGTGCCAGGACTCTAGCTCACAAAGTCTTAAGACAAGGATACTACTGGCCAAACATGTACAAAGATGTCACTTGCTTTGTTCAGAAATGCCCGAAATGTCAATTCTTCGCACATCTGACTCATCAACCAGCAGAAGAGCTCACGAACTTGGTAGCGCCATGGCCATTTGCTCAGTGGGGACTGGATCTTTTAGGCCCATTCGTGAAAAGGGTTGGTGGTGTAACCCATCTGGTTGTTGGTGTGGATTATTTCACAAAGTGGGTTGAAGCTCGACCTTTATCTAGTCTTACCTCTAAGAAAGTTGAAGATTTTGTTTTCAATTCGATCATCTGCAGATATGGGATCCCAAATCAGATTGTGGCTGATAATGGAACTCAATTCAATTGCTCCTCATTTCGAGATTTCTGCTCCAATTATGGGATCAAGTTACAGTTCACCTCCGTTTACCATCCGGAGTCCAATGGCATGGTTGAATCTGTTAACAAATGCATTCTGGAAGGTATAAGGCCGAGATTGGAACAGCATAAGGCCAAGTGGGCAGACGAGCTCAACAACGTCCTCTAGGCATATAGAACCACGAGCCGAACTGCCACAGGTACTACACTGAACCGAGTCTATTTGGTCAAATTCTATATTATTTTACTTCTTCTGTTACGCCTTACCTTAGAAGCAAATATGCATAACGCGTAAAGCGCATTCTAAAGTTATAATTAATTGAAATAGGTGAAACACCCTACCACCTGGCCTTTGGTACCGAAGCAGTCATTCCTGTTGAGATAGGAGTCCCAAGCTTCCGGGTCACCCATTTCGATGAAAAACGAAATGGACAACTGCTTCGGGAAAACCTTGATCTGCTTGCTGAAGTCAGAGAAGAAGCTCGGCTTCGAACTCTTGTATACAAGCAGAAACTAGCCAACTTCTACAATAAACGGGTCCACCCTCGAACATTCAAAGTAGGAGACCTTGTTCTCAGAAAAGCTGGCCTAACGGGGTTTGAAACTCGTTTTGGCAAACTTGCCCCAAATTGAGAAGGCCCTTATGCCGTGGCCGAGGTGCCACATCCTGGTGCTTATATTCTCCAAGACGCTGAAGGAAAGAGAGTTCCTAGAGTCTGGAATGTCAATAACTTGAAGAAATTTTACCCCTAATAACATTCTTTCAAGTGTTTTAAGTCTTGCTGTTCTTTACGTTTCTCACTTCGTGTTTATTGAGAATCATTTTACCTCTTATTCTATGTATCTGAGGTCAATCAGTTCATTCACTTCTATTAATAAATGTCACTTCACATTTGAAGTGCTTTGTTTCCTTCTAATTTCTTCGCAATAATGTACTTGTTCCTAATTCATATGAAGTGGCTTACTTCTTCTTAACTCATCTGAAGTGAATTACTTTGGTTAATCTCTCAAGTGACTTACTTCTTCTTAACTCCTCTGAAGTGAATTACTTCTTCCTAATTCGTCTCAAGTACTCTTAGTTCTTTCATTCATAAAACATAACAAAAATATAAACCAAACATAAACAAATACATAATTTCATTTAATGTAATAAAAGTGTTACAAACTGTTTAAATGTTCTACAAAAAATTAAAAACAACAAAACAAAATTAATTCTCTGCTGGAGGAGGTGGCTCCACTGGCTCCTCTTCAGCTGGAAGAGGTGGCTGTCTTGGCTGCTGCTCGTCTGGCAGAGGAGGCTGATCATCATCAGATGGAACTGGATGAATCTCCACTTCTGGTGCTGGTTGGCGTTTATCCACTTCAGCTCCATCTGCTCCTGCCTCCACCCCGCCTCTTTCTACCTCTGCCTCTTCTTCTTCTTCCACTGCAACGAACTCAAAGTCGAAGTTCGGAGGGAAAACAGTGCGTCCATCAGCATCATGATCTCACTTCAGTTTGATTTCTGGGCGGAAGTCTGCTGACATACTTTCACCATCTTCCTCCACTCCAGCTTCTTGCTCTCCGAAGGTTATCCTTGTAACATCCACTTCGGGATAAACAGTCTTCACCTTCTTTCTGCAGTCCGTGAAGGCAATGATGGCAGTTGGCAATCGGTAGAGGTTGACGATGTTGTCAAACGAGTTGGAGCTGATGAAGTTGCCGATGTGCTCCTTCATCCCATTGTGCACTAAGGTCTGCACATTCCCCTTCAGCTCCAAGAAAGCCTCCTTCGTCAGCTTTAACTCTTGCGCCAGAGCCTCACGCTCGCTTTCAGAGATCTTTCGCTTGGTCTCTTCAAAGCCGAGCTTGGTGCCCAGGGAAGCCCTCTCCTGTTCCAACTGCTTCACAGTTGGAACCACCTCGTCCAGAGACTCTTGCAGCTCTTTATTTTTCTTCTCCAGCTCCTCCTTCTCCTTCTGCAGCTGGTCATACTGCCTCTACAAGAGTGCCCGCTCCTTCAGGCTCTCCCTGAATTCCTGGGCTAGACCATTCACCCAGCTCGCGTTCTGCAAATCAAAACCGAGGTTAGGAGAAGAAGAAGAGAAGATGACACAACTTAACTACACAACATTACTAATTTAACATACCTCTAGAGCGTGCCTCATCACGAACGCTCCACCATACCTCAGAGCCTCCTCCCGCGCCTTGCTCTGATCCACTTCGGGGAAGGTGTTGTTGATGAACCACCTCGCAGGCTGCTCTGAGGCCCCAGTGGAGGAATAGGGCCCTTTCCCTTTCCAGGAGCTCGTACGTCAGCCCCCTCCTCCAACTGTCTGAGCTCAGGGTTCAGCTCAACAGGAGGAGGCTAAGGTACGAACTCAGGAACCTCATCCTCCCTTCCCTCCTCCACCACCTTCTTCTTCTTCTCCAGTGCCTTCCTCTCCTCCCAACCCTTTCTCTTCAGCGGTGGCACCTCCTCCCCCGTCTCAGCTGAAGCAGTAGGCACCACCTCCTTCCCAGTTCTCCCCTCATCCACTTGCTTAGGTAAAGTCCTTGACTTCTTCCTTGGCTTCTTGGGGATGGCCTTCCCTCCAACAGTGTTCAAAAATTGATTCATGTCAGCTGCACAGCAAAAAACACAATATTAGTCACAATTCTATGTTCTACATTTAGCACTACAGTATATGTCAAACAAACCTTCACTCAGAGCGCTTGGCCCATAGAGCTCAGCAGCCTCTATGCATGCTGCGCTGGTGAGGTCCATGATATTCAACACATCCCCCCTCTTCCTCACCAACCTCCCCACTTCCTCCTCCTCATCCTCAGTTAAGCTAAACTTATTCTGGTTGGCCCTTTTGGCCTTCCAGGAAGCTAACGCCCTCACCTCGGCATCCCCTTTCCCCCA